GGCTGTTGTGTTGCAGCTGTGTCAGCCATTGGGATGGGGTACTGGACTTTTACAGTGAATCCCACCTCAAAGCAGGTCTCTCTTTCTCACTGTTGAGCAGCCTGGCCACCCTGTGAACCAGAGTGATTGCTGGTCCCCTCCTGGGGCCAGATAGGAATTCTGAGCCCTGGATCCTGCTGAACAAAAGGTCCCTAGGTAGTTGTTCCTTATCTCATTTTGATTCTCACAGGACATGAGAGGCATCTGGGGTAGTGTCATATTTAATTAGCTCACAATATGGCAGGTAGTGCTGGGCAAGGGGTGTTAGTGGTAAGCCCTGCAGGGCACTATTTGGTGATTAGATAGATACCCTGAATGGGTACTGTGAATCATATGATTCAGGTACACAAGCAGGGGTGGCCTTCTGGACAGGTTCGGGAGATGACCAACCTTGGTTCATGAGAATCAGGAGGGAGATGGGTCTGAGGATGTCTCTCCAGTTAAAGCTGGTTGGCTGTGCACAGCAACACCCGGGGATAAGGTAGTCTCCTGGACTGAAGAGGAGTCAAGCTGTTCCACTTGCTCCTGTTCTTAGATTTGATGCACTACCTTAAGCCCCAGCTCAGTTCAGGGATTTAAGAAGGCAATAAAGTTGTGGCCTCAATTTGCACCAATCTCTTGTGTCTCACCTCTTTATTTGCTGGTTGGGTTGGGGGAATGAAAGAGTACTGCTTCCCTCTGCTTCTCTATTCTGCAAATTGCACATACATTAATATATGTCGCTTTTCCATTGTTAGGGAAACACTATGGGGTATACAGTTGTGAAGGCTGCAAAGGCTTCTTCAAACGGACGATAAGAAAGGACCTTTTCTACACCTGTCGTGATAACAAAGACTGTCTAATTGACAAGCGACAGAGAAACCGTTGTCAGTATTGCCGTTATCAGAAATGCCTGGCAATGGGCATGAAGAGAGAAGGTATGTCTCTGCATCGCCTAGGCCAAAAAAAGAGAGGCCTTGTATGAACAGCTTTGTGGATTTAAAATTATTATTATAAAGAATCACAGAAGAGGATCCTTACTGCTTTTGATTTAGCACCACACCAGATGAACTTCACACTGTTTGAGAATAAATTCCCAGCAATGCACACAAATCCTCAGAATGAGGAGCATTGACCAGCCCAAAAAGGAAAAATAGCCTTGAGGGGGGGAAAAGTAATCTGTGTTATCAGAGCAAATAGCAGCTAATTTAATTTGTGGGTTCAGCCCCTGAAAATTGGAATGGTCAGCAGAGCACATTTCCCCTTTGGCAAAGAAATAACATCCACACTCCTTTACTCTAGTATTTGTACTTCTAGATCACTAAGGTGGAGATGCTCAATTCAAAGAGTTGGCCCGTCATCTCTCCAGAACAAAGGAGATTCTCCCAGGGAGAATCAAGAATGAAAATGTGAGAAAGAAGGAAGTGACATCAGCAACCCTAAGAATATCAGGCTAGGCTGAAGGAAGGTTGGGCTAAGTCAGAACAGGTGAAGGGCAGTCTAGGAAAGGAAGACCTTTTCTCTGTGTGTCTATTCCTTCCCATGACAGGCATCTTCTTCACTCCACCTCCAGTAGCCATTTTCTAGTAAGGGGAAACCTGAAGTTTGCCAAGGTAAAGGTACCAGCTCTCATGAATTTACTTAGCATCTATGCCAATTTTCTTTAGTGTTCAAAAGGATTCTTGTATACTACCTCTCATGCATTTATTTTGGTCCTTGAAAAATGTGTGATATTATTATCTCCTTATTACACAGTGAAGAGGACCTAAGGCTAAGAGGGAGAGAGTTTGCTGAAGAACCATACAGTGAATTCATAGTTAAACTGAGATTTTTAGACAGTATATGACAATAACTCCTACTAGGGTAGGATGCAATCTGAGAATCAGAATAGCTATTGTTCTGCACCTTAAAAGATGGTGTAAGCATTAGAAAATGCAGTGGGTAGATTTGTATGATGTATGACTTTTAAAGAAAAAGTTAGTGGATAATGAAGAGGGTTCAGGAATACAGTCAACTGTGTGAGTATACCATGGTTCCTTGGGCGCTTACAGGGCATGACATAAACAGGTAATCCATCTTCCTAAGAAGTTTGGTTTTCATCTTAACATGATAAGGAAGGTTTCTAAATCTTTCTGTGACAGTAGGCTCAAAAATGTGTGGGCTGAAATCTCAAAGACTTTGTATGTGTGTGTATGTGAACATACAATGAAATGACCTGTACTAAACAGACTTCCAGTAGTAAGAGTGGGAAAGGTTTGTGTTAGAAGCAAATGAAAATAATTTACACACAATAAGCCAGCTGTTGTAGATATGCTCAGTTTCTATAACCTGTGCAGGTTGCAGAAATCTGCATAGTGCAGAGCTTCTTCCTTTCTTCCTTTCTTCCTTTCTTCCTTTCTTCCTTTCTTCCTCTTTTTGTGCCCAGTTCATGGTCCAAGTTGTCCTGTTAGTTGAAGAACTTTCCAGAAATGCAGCTTAAAAGCTGCAAGGAAGAGACCAAGACTGTTTAGGGCATAATGAAGATGGCATGTCCCCTATTTCACAGGAGATGAGAGAAAGGATGTGAAAGTGCAGGGATGTATTCTGGACTTAGAAGATGTGTTGGATAGGGATGTAAAGGCAGGAATGCATTCTAGGGCATAAGGGAGAAGTGTCCAAAATATCAGCTCATGGGCAAAGCCTTATCTTCTTCCCCTTCTTCTCAGCTGTTCAAGAGGAAAGACAGAGAAGCAGAGAGCAGAGTGAGAATGAAACAGAGTCTACTAGCAGCCACAGTAGGACCAGTGAAGACATGCCAGTGGAGAGAATTTTAGAAGCTGAAATGGCTGTTGAACCCCAAACTGAATCTTATACTGACACTGACCACTCGGTAGGTGTCTGCTTGGGACAGAAAAGGAATGTGATGGAAAATGAGAATGATTTCTCTCCCCCCCCCCCGCACACACCCTTGTGAGGCAAACAGCAACTGAGGGTATTCTTGCTGGGAAACTGGTGCAGTCCACAATTTTAATACCAAAGTGGCTGCTTTCTCTTCAGAGGAACTGTCCATCCAATAAAACTGGCCAGGTTAAGCACACTTTTGAGAAACCCCATTTAACCAAACATGTGGGTTGCAGCATCCTGATTCTGCTGAGTACAGCCATGGCTCACTCGGGGCTCGTGTGCTTTCACAAGACCTTGAACTGAACACAAAAAGAAAACAAGCCCAACCTTCTGTTGCTGCAATAAGGGGGTCTTTTTCTTTGCAGACCCCCTAACTAACATGACCAAACACACAAATACACACACACAAACCCTATAGATTTCCAGAAAAAAACCCACATCAACACATGTTTTGCCATTTTCATTTTTCATGTAATTTGATTGTGTGAAATGAAACAGGCCAATTTGCAGGCTCTGTCCTGAGGCATGGGCAGCTCAGTTCGGCCTTCAGCAGCAGGCTGGGCTTTCCTGGGCTGAGCACAGAAGCCCGTTAACAGAGAGACCAGGCAGGTTGTTGGGCACAGAGGCTGGAGGGTTCTGGCTGTAATCTGTATAACATTATTTTCCAAACATTATTCATGGGAGACTGAAGCCAGCACAGTGTTTTTCATTTTCATTGAGTGCAATGTGACCCTAGTCACCGTCTGGGCCTGACAGGTTGGCTACGTATTGAGGTCTTCTTAAAATGAGGCTTGCATTTTCAGGTACTGTTTTTTTTTTTATGACAAAGGAGTACAGTTGGGAGTGGCCAATTGGCTCTTTATAAAGCAGTGGTTTCTGTCTCGTGATGGTCTTGAGCTATAATTCTCAGAAGCCTTAAGAAATACTACATAATAATTTATATCACATACAAAGTTATATATTGCACAGAGTTATATGCATAATATTTCCACTGTATTTATGGTGCTTTATCTACCTAATAGAAATAAAGTTTTTAAAGGCAGCAGTAGACATGTTACCCTTTGGAAATGTTTCCTCTACATAAACTAATGAGTGAAACTCTTATTAATGTCACTACCCAAAATTATTTTAAGCATGTATTGCTTTCAAGATCTTTTTCTGATGCTCGTCCAAAAAAGATATGACCCAGGTCTCTGTGTTTCTTGGTGAATGACTTGACAGATTTAGGTAGTTTAAAAACCACTGTAAAACATCTCCAAATGTGGATTTGTGGCTTGGTCTCTAGGGGCTAATATGAGGTGATGACTGTTGATTTTTACTAGCTAGTATTCCTGTTTCTCTCTTAGACCAATGATCCCGTCACCAATATATGCCATGCAGCTGACAAGCAACTTTTCACATTGGTGGAATGGGCTAAGCGGATTCCTCATTTTTCAGATCTGACATTGGAAGATCAAGTAATTCTCCTCCGTGCAGGTAATGGATTTTGGTCTCCACACTTTACCATTGTTCTAATTTATTCAGGTGCATAAGGGCAGTTTAAATGAAGAGCTTAAAGCACTGATCAGAGCACTCAGAGAGTTCAACTCTGGCTGTTCTGTCAGTTTACTATTCCAAACTACAGGTGAAAGACTGCATATTTGACTATCCCCTTATTTAAAAACAACAGCAGCAGCAACAACAGGGCTCAGTCCAAATGGTGATATTGTGGTTTCTGTAAACCTTTGCCTCTCATGAAACACAGCTTCTTGTGTTGGTAGATGGGACTGCAAAATGTAAAGGAAATACTTATTAAGAATAAAGGCAAAAGCACTGCTTTAACTTTGTCTTGGTTTTATAATGTCATTTAACAGCCAGATTCAGTTTGCTGCATGGCATCATCAGAGAGCCTGACTAGTGTGAGCACATTGCTTCCTGCCTTTTCCATGAAATATCTTCTGTTCAGGGATTGATTAATGTTGGCTGATGTAAGGACACCAACCAAAATTTTATAGTGACAAGACTCTCCCCCAGCAGATGGAGTCTTCCATCAGAGTGCATGTCCAGTCCACAATGTACAATGAGATCAGGAAGAGTTCTGTTGTCCTCTGCAGGATAGGAAAGATTGTTCTTGGACTGGAGACCAATTCCAGGCCCTCTTTCCTGCTCAGAGATGAAGAAGAAGGAAGAGCTAGGAATAATCTATGGTGCAGTTTCACTGGGTGCCTTTAGAGAAAGCACAACCAGGTATATCCCCAGTCTTATGGGGCTCATCATGATTGCACTGCATGGTGATGTATCAAATAGCAAAATCTGACACCATGAAGCATTTAATGAATCACCTGAGGAGACCATGTATCTAACTGAATTTGGTCGTACAATTTCATAATATTCTGATCTTATCATGATCACATGGCAAGCAAGGTTCCCAAGCTAATGAATGCATCAAGCAAATTTTACAGCCGTGCCTTGCTCTGTCATTTCTTCAAAATGGCACTGAAGTGGCTGCTGCAAGAAACAAAGTACAGCAGTAAATTGTTGCAAAAAGATGAATGTTTGGTGGATTTTTTGGAGATCATCTTGGGCCATCTCCCAATCCTTCCTTCAGCCCTGCAAAAAAACAAATCAACAACAACAAAACCCAGTTATCCAGTACTTGTGTAATAAATATGCTAAGTCAAGAGCCAGACCAGTTTCTGATGTTTGGTAACTATGAACAAAGTCCCATCCCCATATTACCTAGGGTTTTAACTTCCCACAACAGGTTCTATGTACTTTGAATTCCATATGTTAGGTATAAGTTTAGCAAGGGATATTTTTTTCTCCCTAGAATGGGGATGGAAGTGACAAATTTCTGCTAAATTTCTTCCTGTTTGAGTAGTTAAAGGCAATGATAATCTTCATGTGGATCATGATTGCAGTTAACTGGATGGAACTCTACCTATACTGAAGAAGATGCATATCTTTCCATGAGGAGAAGTAGATAGAAAGAGGAGGTACTAAAATTTGCCCATGCAAGAGAAAGATGGGCCAAATTCTATCACTAGACAAATCTCTACTTAACATGAAGAATAAAGAGGGAGAATCATTCCAAACCCACTTAGTTCAATTTTTGGGACTTCAGCAGCGCTTAGTAGATACAGGACAAATTCAAGTGATACTCAGGGGAAAAAAAGCAGCTTTCCTGGGATCATTTCAAAATCCCAGAATTGTTTGTTTCTATCACTGAAGCAAGGGAATATAACAGAGTTTCCATTTCAGTTCAGAGGCATTTAAATATTTGTTTGGAATTTAATGAATGAATGAATGAATGAATGAATGAATGAATGAATGAATGAGCTTTATTATGGCCACTGACTAGCAGATATATCCAGATGTGACTGTAACACAAAAATACAATGAAACATACATAAGGTAGCTATATGATATCACATGTACACAATCTGTTACAATGTAACTTAATTAGATGGATCTTCCTTAGTTTCATTGGACTGAGGAGTGCAGTAAATAAATTCAGTAAACTCTGTACCACCTCCAGTCTCATTGTCTTAAGTAGCGTATCATATAGAATATAGGGTGGCCAGTACACATTATTACTAAAGCATTACTAAACATCTAGCTTTGCCTTGATCGGTGCAAGGAGGAAACAGCAACACTTCATTGCTGCTCCACAGAAATTTGCCACTGCTATGGTTATATCAGACTACTTGTCTGAGAGTAAGAGCACAGCATAAAGTTCTCTGGACGTCCCTTGAAATTGTTGGAATGTTGGCTGGGGGAGATCCCTCTGAGTGTCTCGATAAAAAGAGCACTTTCAGAGGACATGATCAACACTTTCAATCTCCACCTCATTGCAAGGACACACACAATTAACAACTGGCAACCCTTGATATCTGTCTTCCAGTGGTCTGGATGGAGGTACATTAAACCTAGCTAGCGTAAAAGCTTTCCTAAATTTGGGGATTGTTATTTTGGATAGGTAATCAGGCACTTTAGAACTGTTCCTAAATATGCTAAGTTTATTCTGTACTGCTAAATGTTCTTGAAGCTCAACATTCAAGGTTTTTAATAACATAAAAGTGAACATGTGCTACTTGCTAATGACTGAGAATTAAAAATAGAAGGAGTTGGCAAAAGAAATTTCATAGAATCATAGAATAGTGAAGTCGGAAGGGATCTATCAGGCCATCGAGTCCAAACCCCTGCTCAATGCAGGAATACAAGTTTAAGAATTTCTGCCAGGTGGTTGTCTAAGGTTCTCTTGAATGCCTCCAGTGTTGGAGCACTCACCACCTCTCGAAGTAACTGGTTCCACTGTCTTACTGCTCTAACAGTTTTTCCTGACATTCAATCAAAATCTGGCTTCCTGTAACTTGAGCCCATTGTTGTGTGTCCTGCACTCTGGGATGATCGAGAACAGATCCTGCCCCTCCTCTGTATGACAGCCTTTCAAGTATTTGAAAAGTGTTACCATATCACCCCTCTGTCTTCTTTTCTCAAGGCTAAAGATGTCCAATTTTCAGTCTTTCCTCATAGAGCTTGGTTTCCAGAGCCCTAATAATCCTTGTTTCCCTCCTCTGAACATGTTCCAGTTTGTCAGCATCCTTCTTGAATTGTGGTGTCCAGAACTGGACATAATACTCAAGGTGAGGCCTAACCAGTGCTGAATAGAGGGGAACTGGCACCTTATGGGATTTGGAAAATATACTTCTGTTAATGTAGCCTAAGATAGCATTTGCCCTTTTTTGTAGCCACATCACATTGCTGACTCATATTCGGCTTGTGATCTACGACAATTCCATGATCCTTCTCACTTGTAGTATTGCTGAGCCAGGTATTTCCCATCTTGTAAATGCATTTAGTTTCTTTTTCCAAAATGCAGTAGTTTGGACTTATCCCTGTTGAATTTCATTCTGTTGTTTTCAGCCCAGTGCTTCAGCCTATCAAGATCATTTGAATTTTGTTTCTGTCTTCTTGGGTATTAGCTATTCCACCCAATTTTGTGTCATCTGCAAATTCGACAAGCATTCTCTACACTCCCTCATCCAAGTCATTAATAAAAATGTTGAAGAGCACTGTACTCAGGACTGAGCCTTGGGGTACCCCAATTGTTACCTACTCCCAGTTGGAGGAGGAGCCATTAATCATCACTCTCTGAGTATGATTCGGTAGCCAATTGTGTATCCACCTGACAACTTCTAGATTTCTTATCTTAGGTTTATCTTATTTGATTATCTGATCTTTGTGGCTCACCACAATGTCAGACCCCTAGAGGGCACTTGACTTCCTCTGGAGTCCTATAGAGATTTTTAGACCCCTTAGACAAAGAACAGAGGCTATAGTTTGTCATAGCTGGTATATTATCCCTATAGAAAGTTAATCACAGAATGAAACCAGACAATCATTGACAAGCATTTCAAAATTAATCTGGGTATCTAAGTATAAGTATTTTCTTTGTTGCAATAATTCTAGTCAATTACAAAGCTTGTTAATTTTCTATAAGCCATTTATTTATACATTTTGCTTCTAGGTTTTATGTTTCAAAAATAGGATTGTAACGGCCTCCCTCTACTTCGCAAAGGGGGGTCTCTACGTCACTCTAAATCACTCTTCTTTTCCTCTGCCACCAACCATTCCCTCAAATAAGTAGCTTCAGGCCAAAATATGATTAAAAATAAAAACTCAGGTTTATTGGGTACAAATAAAAGGAATGGTAAATCACTTATAATTAAATAATAATTCAATCACTATAATAAAGGCACTAGCATACACAGACTCTCACAGATCTCCTAACTCCTCTCTAATCCCTATCCAAGCCCTATCAAAGCCCTATCAGTCCCTATCCATCCCTATCTGTCTCTATCTGTCCCTATCTCACACACATTCACTCCCATTTATACCACAGCTCCACCCCTTATGTCCCACCCTCCGTCACACCATTGGTAGATGACTCACAGCTTTAGCAGTGACGGACAGGTGAGGTCATAGCTGTATGTAACAAGGATGACCAAAATATATTGAAGACAGTATGTCTTGAGAAAACTGTAGGCACATAAAAATATATGAAAACTGAACTTAAACTTTAGGCAAATACTTAAGTCAGGAAATACAGAATCAATAATACAATACAATATCTAAAATAATGATTTAAATTACATTCTTAAACATATAGGAGCTTATCTTATACTGGCAGAGAATACATCTTTAGAATATATCAGGTTTTAAGAGAAAAATTATAAAAACAAAAAGCATTGCTTGGGTCTAAGCATGTTAACACAGAGAGAAAAATATTTCTAAACAGAGCTCACCCATTCCGTTACAGTGCTGTATAGGGGAAATGAATGTTTTTTTTTCTTGGAGCCACTTTATCTTTCTCCTTGGATAAGAAGTTTCTCACAGCTGCTACTTGCTGATTAAGGGTGTGAGAAATCATTGATTATTTATAGTTTATGTTTTCTTTATCTAACTTGCTGTTGTTTGTCTTTGTCACTTACTAGTGTCCAAAACAGATTTAAAGTGTTTCAAAAATACTTTGTTGTTCATTTTCCTCTGGCAGATATGGTCTAATCTATATCTGAGAGAGGGAGAGAAAGAAAGACACCCACACCCACAAAGCAGTAAAGCTAAGAGTCCTGTTTATGAGTATTGTTCTGTGCAGCACAGGAGGTTGTAAGGAATGACTTCCGAATCATGCGCCTCTTTGATTGTCACATCCAAGGCATCTTTATTGAGTCACTGAAAACTCTCTTCCTTGCAGGTGTTTGCTTCATCCCTGGAACCATTTGTTAATTGTTTATCTCCAGTATCACCCTTACTCTTTGGCCTTAGTTCAGGAATGCCTAGTCATTCGTCAGATGGGTCCCGGAGGCACACTTGGTATCATGAGCATCAACGTTTTCAGCAGTGGTTAGATATATGCAATATACATGCATGTATTGGGGTGCTGTGAGAATGGCTTGGGTTATGGGATACTGACATTTCCTAGGAATTCATCTATGTAAACATGGTTTTTGTTGTTGTTTTTTAGTTGTTAAGTCGTGTCCGACTCTTCATTACCCAATGGACCAGAGCACGCCAGGCCCTCCTGTCTTCCACTGCCTCCCAGAGTTGGGTCAAATTCATGTTGGTAGCTTCAATGGCATTGTCCAACCATCTTGTCCTCTGCCATCCCATTCTCCTCTTGCCCTCACAAGAGTCTTCTCTTCTCATGAGATGGCCAAAGTATTGGAGCCTCAGTTTCAGGATTTGTCCTTCCAGCGAGCACTCAGGCTTGATTTCCTTCAAAATGGATACGTTTGTTCTCCTTGCAGTCCAGGGGACTCTCAAGAGTCTCCTCCAGCAGCATAATTCAAAAGCATCAATTCTTCGGTGGTCAGCTTTCTTTACGGTCCAGCTCTCACTTCCATACATCACTACTGGAAAAACCATTTTGTTGGCAAGGTAATGTCTCTGTTTTTTAAGATGCTGTCAAGATTTGTCATCGCTTTCCTCCCAAGAAGCAGGCGTCTTTTGATTTCGTGGCTGCTGTCTCCATGTGCAGTGATCATGAAGCCCAGGAAAATAAAATCTGTCACTGCCTCCATATCTTCCCCTTCTATGTGCCAGGAGGTGATGGGACCAGTGGCCATGATCTTAGTTTTTTTGATGTTGGGTTTCAGACCACTTTTTGCACTCTCCTTTTTCACCCTCATTAAGAGGTTCTTTAATTCCTCCTCACTTTCTGCCATCAGAGTGATATTATCTGCACATCTGAGGTTGTTGATATTTCTTTTGGCAATCTTAATTCCAGTTTGGGATTCCTGCAACCCGGCCTTTCACATGATGTATTCTGCATATAAGTTAAATAAGCAGGGAGAGAATATACAGCCTTGTCAAACTCCTTTCCCAATTTTGAAGCAATCAGTTGGTCCATATCCAGTTCTAACTGTTGCTTCCTGTCCCACATATAGATTTCTCAGGAGATAGATAAGGTGGTCAGGCACTCCCATTTCTTTAAGAACTTGCCATAGTTTGCTGTGGTCCACACAGTCAAAGGCTTTTGCATAGTCAATGAAGCAGAAGCAGATGTTTTTCTGGAATTCTCTGGCTTTCTCCATAATCCAGTGCCTTTTAGCAATTTGGTCTCTAGTTCCTCTGCCCCTTCAAAATCCAGCTTGTACTTCTGGGAGTTCTCGGTCCACATACTGCTGAAGCCTACCTTGGAGGATTTTGAGCATAACCTTGCTAGCGTGTGAAATGAGTACAATTGTACAGTAGTTGGAGCATTCTTTAGCACTGCCCTTCTTTGGGATTGGGATATAGACTGATCTTTTCCAATCCTCTGGCCACTCTTGAGTTTTTCAAACTTGCTGGCATATTGAGTGTAGCACCTTAACAGCGTCATCTTTTAAGATTTTAAATAGTACAACCGGAATACCATCACCTTCACTGGCCTTGTTGTTAGCCAAGCTTTCTAAGGCCCACTTGACTAAGGCCCACTCTCCAGGATGTCTGGCTCAAGGTCAGCAACTACACTAGCTTTTATGACTCTTTTGTTGACTGTGAGGGCTACTCCATTTCCTTTCACTTTCAGGTGCGTCTGCAGCTGAGCGACTTTTCAGCTTTGGCCCAACCACTTCATTAGCTCAGGAGCTACTTGTACTTGTCCTCTGCTCTTCCCCAGTAGTATGTTGGATGCCTTCCAACCTGAGGGGCTCATCTTCCAGCGTCATATTATTTAGCCTTTTGTTTTTGTCCATGGAGTTTTCTTGGCAAAGATACTGGAGTGGCTTGCCAGTTCCTGCTACCGGTGGATCACGTTTAGTCAGAGCTCTCCACTATGACCTGTCTGTCTTGGGTGTCCCTGCATGGCATAGGCCATAGCTTCTCTGAATTACTCAAGTCCCTTCATCATGACAAGGCAGCAATCCATGAAGAGGAAACATGCTTACATCACCCTTTTCAAAACAACTCTTTCCAGATGTCATGTGTTTAATGTTTTCATATCAAAGCAAAACAGGCAGTTGCCAAAGAACTGCTATTCTTTCAATAACTTTGCTCTGCTAGAGTTGTTTCATTGTTTTAAAACACATGTAGTAAACAATATTTTCATGCCTCAAATTTAGAAATACTATTAGGTAAGTTTTTAGGGCAAGTTTCTACACACCCCATAACTGTTGTAATACTCTTTAAAAGACAAGGGATCAAATCTTGACAGTTGGACAGGGTTTTTTAAAGTGCTTCATTCAGAAATATCTGTGTCCTTCTTTCATCTTTTCTTTTAGGTTGGAATGAGCTGCTGATTGCTTCTTTTTCCCACCGCTCTGTCTCAGTGCAGGATGGTATCTTGTTGGCCACTGGCTTACATGTGCATCGGAACAGTGCGCACAGTGCCGGGGTGGGCTCCATTTTTGACAGGCATGTGGTTTTTAAAATTTTTGTTTTAGATATTGTCATTCTTTTCCAGATATGATTTGAGTTTTAGAATAATATTGGAATTTGCAATGAACAATTAGAACAGGGAAATTTAGGAAACATTAGGAAACCTGTGGAAATTGTAATGTTTTCTGGGAGGTTGTTTCTGTTGGAGGAATAATGGGTGGACTTTCTCTAACATAAATCTGTCCTTTCAAGATAGCTTTCCATTTTCGAAAAACACATTAGTGTTCATCTACATGTATTCAAACTTTTTATCCAAATGATTGACATCTAGCACTAAACAGTTGGTTTCTAACCTGTACATGATATGATAGGATATGATATACGTTATGTTACATTACGCTGCACTGCACTTCGTTATGTTATCACATTATTCTATTGAAGAAAGATATTCATACAATTATACAATCATTAGTTTCCCACTTGAAAGACCCAGATAAATTTTCAGTTGACTTTTACAGTCATGGCCAAAAATATTGGCACCCTTGCAATTCTGTCAGAAAATGCTTTTGGTACTCACATGTTCATTTCTTTGGTTTGCATTGGAACAACACAAAAAATAGAGAAGAAAAGTCAAATCTGATACAATCTCACACAGAAACCCCAAAATGCACTGGCCAAAATTATTGGCATTCTATTTAAATTGTAAGAAATAATTGCTTTTCAAGCATGTGATGCTCCTTTAATTTGTATTTAGACACAGCTGTCACAAGTAAGAGATGTGGGCAGGAATTTTGGACCACTCTTCTTTTGCAAACTGCTCTGGGGCCTTCAGATTCAAAGGATGCCTTCTCCCAACTGCTCTTTTGAGATCTCTGCACAGGTGTTCTATGGCAGCAGTCCCCAAACCTTTTGGGCTGCGGACTGGCTGGAGCAAACTCCATGCTTGGGGGGGGGGCGTGTCATGTACTGGGGCCAGAGATCCGTACCTATGGCCCAGTTCTGGCAAGCCCACGGACCAGCACTGGGCGGCAGACTGAGGGCTGATGACCCCTGTTCTATGGGATTCAGATCTGGACTCATTGCTGGCCATTTCAGAACTTTCCAGCACTTTGTTTGTAACCATTTCTGAGTGATTTTTGAAGTGTGTTTCAGGTCATTGTTCTGCTGGAAGACCCATGACCTCTGGTATAGACGCAGCTTTTTGACACTGACCACTATGTTGTGCCCCAAAATTCTTTGGAAATCATCAGATTTCATGATATCGTTCACATAGTCAAGGCATCCAGTGCCAGAAGCAGCAAAGCAACCCCAAAACATCTTTGAACCTCCACCATGTTTGACTGTAAGGGCTATGTTCTTTTCTTTGAATGCCTCGTTTCCTTTTCTATGATGACCTTGCCCAAAAAGCTCCACTTTTGTCTCATCTGTCCACAGTACATTCTCCCAGAAGGATTGTGGTTTTGTCACAAAAGTTTTGGTATATTTCAGTCATGCTTTTTTATGCCTTTGTGTCAGCAGTGGTGTCCTCCTGGGCCTCCTTCCATAGTGTCCCTTTTCATTCAGATAGTGATGGATAGTGCAAGCTGACACTGTTGTACTCTGTGACTGCAGATCAGCTTGAATTTGTTTGGAAGTTAATCTGGGTTCGGTATCCACCATTCAAACAACCCTTCGTTGTAATTCTTCAGTAATTTTGCTCTTCTGTCCTTGTCCAGGGAGGTTAGCAACAGTCCCATGGGCTGCACAGTGGACACAGGAGCATTAATATCTCTGGTGCTGCCATAGAACACCTGTGCAGAGATCTCAAAAGAGCAGTTGGGAGAAGGCATCCTTTGAATCTGAAGGCCCCGGAGCAGTTTGCAAAAGAAGAGTGGTCCAAAATTCCAGTAGAGAGGTTTAAGAAACTCATTCATGGTTACAGGAAGCGACTGATTTCAGTTATTTTTTTCCAAAGAGAGTGCTACCAAATATTAAGTGAAGGGTGCCAATAATTTTGGCCAGTGCATTTTTGGGGGTCTGTGTGGGATTGTATCAGATTTGACCTTTCTTCTCTATTTTTTTGGTGTTGTTTCAATGCAAATCAAAGAAATGAACATGTGAGTACCAAAATATTTGCAACTGCATCAATTTTCTGAGAGAAGGGTTGCATTATCTGACAGAATTGCAAGGGTGCCAATATTTTTGGCTATGAATGTAATACTGTTTGGGATACTGCACTTTTTCTGACTATTCCTTGCACTGTGTTGCATTCACATCAGTGGGTATGGACACAGAGTTTTTGAGTGGAGAAGAAGGTCAGCTGTATGGCTATTGGAAGCCCAGTGCACTTTGCAGTGAGTACTGCAAAAATATCCTGTCTTTTTAAATCAATATTTATTATGTTCTTACGATGTTTTTCTTGATTATAGTATAAACACTGTATTGTTCAAAAGACTGTTCTAGCTGTTTTCTTCCATAATGCCTTAACAATTAGCATTATAGCAATAGAAGACTATTTCATTCATGTAACATTTCATTCATATTTTAATTTGAACAAGAACAGCTGGACAAACATTTTAGATTTGTATGAAAAACTAAACTAAGTAATAAGGTGGTTCCCCCTTGAATGGAGAATTTATTTATTTATTTAATGTGTGCTGAGGTGTGATGCATTCACCAAACTGAAAATCCACTCTTCAAAAAGTTAAGCAGGTAGCGCCATGGGCATCTGTATGTGTGCAGATTGCACCACTCTTCTATTCTTCTGAGAAAAGTCAGACTTTTCTGCAGTCTGAGAAAAGATGGATCAACCATGGGGACATTGTTGGAGAATGTCATCATGTGAATGCCTCTTAAGAAATGAGTGAAGAAAGCTATTTAATCCTAACTACATAGTGTAGAAACAACCCAGATACCCTATTGAGTGCTGCCACCTAGCCCTTGAGTTTCTGATTCCTCTCCTCTTCCTTGCTGCAGGGTTCTCACTGAGCTGGTATCCAAAATGAAAGACATGCAGATGGACAAATCTGAGCTGGGCTGCCTACGAGCCATTGTGCTGTTCAATCCAGGTAAGTATTGATGCCTTGGAAAGCTGGCATCTTCAGTTAACCATCCTTAACACTTCTCAGTCCAAGGCCCACACAGCCATTTAGTAATAAAGCCATTTGTTTGGAGTAGAGTAGCAGGAGGCCTCATTAAGAGCCATCTTCTTACTGCTCCTTTATATAGTAGACTGTTTAGCTAGCTAGCTTCTGGCAGCCCTGTTCCCATATCTGTCTGCCCTTGTCAGCACATTTCCAGGTTAGCACTAAAGGCAGTTGCAGAAAGGTAAGCATATACAATGTGGGTCAGAGGGAGGACCAGTCGGGCAATGCTTGGGAGGGGCTAATGGGACAGCAGTAGGCCTGGCAGGAAAGAATGAAGCTGAATGGGATGGATTGGCTTTTGTGATGTACATAGGGAAATAGCCCTAGGATCCAGTCCGGTATTGACCATGCTTGCTACATGTCTCTAATGACTGGATGGTCATGTGTTTTGTCAGACTATTTAAATAATGTACTCTTTCAATCCCTTTGATAATATGTGTTCTGCTAAAATAGCTCCAGAACTGTTATCTGTAAGTATATTACCACCATCCTGTCCATAAGATTCTGCAAGCACAAGCCGAGATTGGGAAATTAAGTTCTTCCCCCCACCCCTTGCTTTCATCACATCAGATGCCAAGGGCCTGTCCAGTCCTACAGAGGTAGAATCACTGCGTGAGAAAGTTTATGCTGCTCTAGAGGCATATACCAAACAGAAGTATCCTGAACAACCTGGAAGGTAAACAGAAATTGGTTCAACCTCAGTTAGTATGTCTAATTGGTGTTAGGAATTCTAGAACACCCTTGACGATAATGCGACTGCCATGGATACATAAGCAGTCCCTCCAAAGCAAAAAGGACTGAAGGTAATGTGAAAAAAAGTTTGGTGGCAAATTTGCATATGCTGATGTAAACTAATATATAAACTAATATATGCAAATATCACAGTCAGACTCACCTTTGGACACAGCACTGAGATAAAGATAGGATATAAATCAAATACTGTAAATATTTAAGAGCTCTCTGAAATGCCCTGTACTTTGTGCTTTCTCCAGCTTATTGAAAACAAATATATCTAGAAAGTGGGTAAACAGAAGGCACTGTAGTCTTGTTCAGAGGAATGTTCTGAACAGTGCTTTCAGAGTGTCCACTCCTGGGACTGACCGCACATTTGAAGTTCATTGAGAATTGGTATTTTTATAAAATGACTTGGCTTCCAAACCGTGGTTCCTAAACATTGAGAGACAGCTGATTAGATACATTTACCGATCAAAGCCTTCACTTTCTCTGCTCTGACAGGGAAATTGACTAGAAGTAAGGGTGGCCACTTACACATCACCAAAAAAGAAAAGAACACATAGCCATATGTGGGGTAGTTATTGGAGTAATGAACAAACAGTATTTATATTTCACATTCAGAAATCCATCTTCAATATCAAATTATAATATTTGTCTATTTATTGTATTTGTGAGCTGGAATTTTTAGCACATATACATTACTGAAACAGCGACGTCCACGTTGGCTTGGGCATGTCATGATAATGGTTGATGGTCAGATTCCAAAAGATCTCCTGTATGGTGAATTAGTGCAGAGAAATCGCCCCAGAGGGAGACCACAGTTGCAATACAAGGACATCTGCAAGCGGGATCGGAAAGCCTCAGGAATGGATCTCAACAAATGGGAAACCCTGACATCTGAGCATGCAGCCTGAAGGCAAGCAGTGCATCATGGCCTCTCCCAATTTGAAAATACCCTTGTCCAGCAGGCTGAGGCAAAGAGGAAGTCACAAAAGTAGCAAAATCAGGGAGCTGGAAAGAGGACAGACTGTATTTGTCTTCAGTGTGGAAGGGATTGTCACTCTCGAATTGGCCTCCTCAGCCACACTAGATGCTGTTCCAAGTCCTCCATACAGAGCACGTTACCATAGTCTCTCGAGAATGAAGGATGCCTAATGCAATGTTCCATACTGGCAAATACTGGGACACCATGGCTACATTTCTAGACAAGAAAATGGAGAAGCTGGGCTACCGAGTGTTGCAAGGAACTGAAGATGTGGACTTCTGCAGAGGAAAACCAAAATCTAAGATTGCCTCAAACCTATGGTTGATGGTCAGATTCCAAAAGATCTCCTGTATGGTGAATTAGTGCAGAGAAATCGCCCCAGAGGGAGACCACAGTTGCAATACAAGGACATCTGCAAGCGGGATCGGAAAGCCTCAGGAATGGATCTCAACAAATGGGAAACCCTGACATCTGAGCATGCAGCCTGAAGGCAAGCAGTGCATCATGGCCTCTCCCAATTTGAAAATACCCTTGTCCAGCAGGCTGAGGCAAAGAGGAAGTCACAAAAGTAGCAAAATCAGGGAGCTGGAAAGAGGACAGACTGTATTTGTCTTCAGTGTGGAAGGGATTGTCACTCTCGAATTGGCCTCCTCAGCCACACTAGATGCTGTTCCAAGTCCTCCATACAGAGCACGTTACCATAGTCTCTCGAGAATGAAGGATGCCTAATGCAATGTTCCATACTGGCAAATACTGGGACACCATGGCTACATTTCTAGAAAAGAAAATGGAGGAGCTGGGCTACCGAGTGTTGCAAGGAACTGAAGATGTGGACTTCTGCAGAGGGAAACCAAAATCTAAGATTGACTCAAACCTCCTGCCCAGCTTTCTTTACAGTTCTGCAGACTGCAGGTCATTTTTCCAACACATAGGTTGTGCATTTCTGCCATCTGGTGGCCAGTATGCAAAATTTTCCAAATGGAAATTAGACATATTTTCTTTATTTACCTCTACCCCCCTTCACTCCCTATTCCTTTCAAAATGGCAACATTTGGGTGATCTTGGTTCAAACTGAGCAGGAATTGGGCAAAGGGAAAAAGTAGGCTGGCCATACTTTAAAGATGATAGTATATGTTCTAACCTGCGTCTAGGATGGCGCAAGATGTTTTAAACACTTAGGACCTGATAAAATGAGGAAAATCTGGTAGTATGCAACAGGAGAGGATAAGGCTCTTGTCAGAAAACTCACAGAAAGGACGAGTGTTATATCTCCTCTAAAACCCCATTTAAAGCAGGATAGCTCTGGACTTTCTTTATGTCTTTTGACATTCCATAATGTCAGAGGACCTGATGTCAAAGGCTGGCTCATCACCACATGCCCTTGCTTCATGGTGCCGCTACATGGTTTGATACACAGACTGTAACTAGCAATAGGATTTAGTAGTTGAAATTTTGGAGGTGATGAAGTATGTGGGTCCCAGGCTGTGAAAGGCCTTTAAAGTGAAGCCAGGCACTTCGTAATAGACCAGAAAGCTGGAAACCAGAGCACATGTTGATAAAGTTGTTGAAATATGTTCATGAATGTTCAGGATCTGTCAGGAGGTGGATTTCAACACAAGCTTCTGGTTCATTGTTTAGGAACAGCCCGGTGCAGGGATGAGCAACTTTTAGTGTTCCATGTGCTCTTGGATTCCCAACTGTCTTCTACCCTTATTGTTGTTGTTGTTTTGTCCCATCATTTCTGACTCATGGCGACTCTTCACAGGTCCATTTGGTAGGGACACAAGAGAGACCTTCTCTTTCTCAAATAAGGCTAATGCTATTTTGGGATGTCTTAACAGAAGTATAGTCTCCAAATTCCTTGACATATTAGTTACCCTTTAATGGTTAGGCCTAATCTTTATTGTGTCCAGTTCTGGATGCCACACTTCAAGAAGGATGATGGCAAATTGGATCAAGTTCAGAGGAGGGCAACAAGGATGATCAGGGGGCTGGAAACCAAGTCTTATGAGGAAAGGCTGAACAAATTGGGCATGTTTAGCATTAAGAAAAGAGGACTGAGGGAAGATAAGATAGCATTTTTCAAATACTTGAAATATAGTCACAGAGAGGAGGGTACAGTGGTGCCTCGCTTAATGATTACCTCATTAAATAACAAATCCGCTTTACGATGAAGTTTTTGCAGTCGCTATTGCGATTGCTAAATGATGTTCCTATGGGGAAAATTTGCTTGACGATGATCGGTTCCCTGCTTCAGGAACCAATTTTTCGCTAGACAACAATTCTAAAAGACCTGATCGGCGGCTCTAAAAATGGACACCCACTGTGCAAAATGGCTCCCCGCTGTTTTTAGCACGGATTCCTCGCTTTACAGGCACTGGAAAATGGCCGTCCTATGGAGGATCTTCGCAAAACGAGCAGGTATTTCACCCATTGGAACACATTGAAGGGTTTTCAATGCATTTCAATGGATTTTTAAAATTCGCTTGATGATGATTTTGCTTAATCGTGATTTGAACGGAATGGATAATCATCGTCAAGCAAGGCAACACTATTAAAAAATACCAGGCAGAGACTCCAGGTGCTTGCAGACAGAGTCTATCCAGAATCACAGTGTGGATTTTGAGCTAATAATTCATCATCGACATGGTATTTTCCCTCAGACAGTTGCAGGAGAAATGTAGGGAACAACTACAGCCACTCTTTGTGGCCTTCATAGATCTTACAAAGGCCTTTGATTTGGTTAGCAGAGATGGCCTTTTTAAAATACTTCCCAAGATTGGATGTCCACTTCGACTCCTTAACATCATCAGGTGCTTTCATGAGGAAATGAAGGGCACTGTAGTTTTTGATGGCTCAACATCAGATCCCTTTGACATCTGAAGCAGAGTGAAACAGGGTTGTGTCCTTGCGCCAACCCTGTTTGGGATCTTTTTTGCTGTCATGCTGAAGCACGCCTTTGGAACTGCAACAGAAGGTGTCTATCTCTGGACTAAATCAGATGGAAAGCTCTTTAATCTCTCTAGATTGAGAGCAAAGACCAAAGTCCAGCTGAAATGCTTGCAGGAGTTCCTCTTCACCGATGATGCAGCTGTTGTTGCCCATTCTGCTGAAGACCTGCAACAACTAATGAGTCATTTTAGCAAGGCCTGCCAAGACTTTGGATTAACAATCAGCCCGAAGAAAACACAAGTCATGTGCCAGGGCATATACTCACTCACCTCCCTCTATTACCGACTCCACACAAGTATTGGAGGTTGTTCATGACTTTGTGTACCCTGGCTCAACAATCTCTGACACTCTCTCCCTAGATGTCGAGCTGGATAAATGCATTGGCAAAGCAGCTACCATGTTCTCTAGACTTACAAAGAGAGTATGGCTTAATAAGAAACTGACAACATATACCAAGATCCAGGTCTATACAGCCTGTGTCCTGAGCACACTTCTGTAGTGCAATGAGTCCGGGACCCTTTGTGCATGGCAGGAGAGGAAGCTGAACATGTTCCATATGCATCGTCTTCAACACATCCAATAAATCTAAAGATGTATCACCTGCCAGGTTCAAACCAGATTTGAGCTGCGTGGTTGGTGAGTGGTGGGGCCACTAGGGAACACATCAAGCCGATTCTGCTTAAACTACATTGGCTACCAGTTGCTGCCAGGGCCCAATTCAAAGTGCTTATTTTGATATATAAAGCCCAAACGGCTTGAGCCCTGGATACCTGAAGGACCGCCTCCTTCCATATTAAGATCTGCCCCTGGCAGTTAAGATCTAGCCAGGGGGCCTTTCTGAAAGAGCCCTTCCCTCAAGGAGGTAAGAGGGATGGCTGGTAGACAAAGGGCCTTTTCGGCAGCTGCTCCCAGACTATGGAACGCCCTCCCAACTGAGATTTGTCTGGTGCCAACGCTGATGACATTTCAGTGCCAAGTCAAAACCTTCCTATTCCAGAAGGCTTTTAATTGAAATAATATCAACTGTGGGTCCTGATGCGATGCTCCCCCCCACAGGGCCAGCAGCGACAAAATTGCTGCATTCACACCATTAGATGCGCTGACTTCCCCACCCACATTTTGGAGGGGAAAAATTGCGTCTTATGGTGCAAAAAATACGGTATATTGCCAGACTGCTGTAAATACTGTTGTAAATACACGTTGCTGAAGGAAATGCTGCTGGACTGTGTGTGAGTTATTTCTGGACTGCCTGGACTCTGCTAAAACCGCGATTTGCATTAAGAAACGCTGACAAACCCTGACAGCAGGTGGTGCATCACAGCCTCTCCCAATTTGAAGAGACCCTTGTCCAGCAGGCCGAGGCAAAGAGGCAGTCACGAAATCAGCAAAATCAGGGAGCTGGACCGGGGACCGATTGTATTTGTCTTCAGTGTGGAAGGGATTGTCACTCTCGAATTGGCCTCCTCAGCCACACTAGACGCTGTTCCAAGTCCTCTATTCAGAGCATGTTACCATAGTCTCTCAAGACTGAAGGATGCCTATTCCAATCAAAATTATAAAAACATTAACTGGTATTTTACAACAGATACAAGTTTTAACCAAAAACCTAAGTAACTGGGTAAAACCTGTTTCTGTTATATCAGATCAGTCAATGTTTTTATAATTTTGATTGACTCTGCCTGATATTTTTGAATGATAATAGCACATCAAGTCAGTTCAGTCTTATGGGAACCCCTTTCAAGGTTTTCCAGGTAGAGAGTACTCAGAAGTGGTTTACCATTCACTTCTTCTGGAGACTTCCTGGAACAGTGCAGCTTGCCCAAGGCCACACAAGCTGGTTCTTCTCCCAGGAGGCATAGTGGGGAATTGAACTTCCAACCCCTGGCTCCACCACAACCAGATACCTAAACCACTGAGCTATCCAGCCAGCTGAATAATCATGTGCCATTAAATGAGTTTTGACTCATGGCAATGCTTCTCAGGGTTTTTCAGATAGAGAATACTCAGAAGTGAAGTACCCTTCCCTCATTCTAGGGGCACCCTGGGACTGTGCAGCTTGGCCAAGGGCTAAGTAGGAACTACATTAAAAATTCCTGTGGTCAAAAGTAACACTTGCCAATAACCTATACGCTGATCACATGCTATGCAGTCCCAGATCTATAAGGGCTGATACCTTGTTCTGAGCTGTAATGTACTGTACCTGATATAGCATCTTGGTTCATGCTAGCTATTTTTACTCAGATTAACAAAGAGTGTAATTATAGCAGAATACAAGGGAAGTTAAAATGCTGAAACAGGTATTTCTGCATATTTAATCATAAACCTCAATTACTATTACTCTTGATAACACACCGGCAAAGGGAAGTTAACAAAGGCAATGGTGCTCAGGTATTAATATTTTGGGTCTTCTGTGTCAAGTTTTTGGCACTTGAGATACAGTGAAGAGTCCTAACCTTTTTACTTGTTTCTCAGTACGATCACTTTTCATCCTGAGTCAGTATTAATTAATTGCAGACTTTCTGCCTTTCTGGTTCCTTCAGGTTTGCAAAACTTCTCCTAAGGCTGCCTGCCCTGCGATCTATTGGTTTGAAATGCCTAGAGCACCTCTTCTTCTTCAAGCTGATCGGCGATACTCCAATTGACACATTCCTCATGGAGATGCTGGAGACTCCGCTGCAGATTACTTGATCTCCACAAGATGCCAAGGAAGGAGTACAGAGGATGTACTCATGATTTTTGTTCAAGGCTCCATGGATCTGCTCACTTTTGCCTGCTCCCTCTCTTGTCCTTCATTATGGAGCATAATAGGCAGTGGGGGGGCACCTCGTTCAGTGCCTAGCTTCTAAAAGGTGGGAGTTTTCTAAATAGGTATGCTTGTTACTGTTACCCTAACTGGCAGGAAAGGTGGGGCAGAGCATCCTGTAGTTTGTCTGTATCAAACTGTGCCATCTGTATAAATAATTAAGTTTAAATTATTTTTTTCCATTTTCAATAACATGAGAAATAAAATAGTATATAAACAATTGCTGTGAAAGTCATTGGTGACACTTTGTAAAGGGTTTCTTTTTACCAAACGTTCTGGTAAGCAGGGAGGGGAAATAGCTCATCAATACCAAACAAAATTTCTCTTTCCCTTTCACCTCCTTCTCCCACTGCCCTGCTCCATGCCTAGGACTTGATTCTACACAGAATTTGTGCCAATAGTTGCTGCCATCTCAGACGTGGGGAGAAAAAGTTAATTGGATGTTCAGTGAAAGTTGTTCAGCAGCCAAAGGTTCAGTAAAGTATGAGCTGGTATTGTCATAATCTACTTTTATATTAGTATTTATTAGAGAAATACCTTTGAAATGTAGTGTGCTAAATGGGATTTCATGGAATCAATTTGCTAAATCCACATGTTTTCAAAATGGTGCAATATAACAGGATACAGTGTCCAAAATTCTGGTCCTCGTTTCATTACTTGTACAGTAGCATGTACACTGGGACAAATACCCCTAGGTTTTAGACTGCATTGCAATATAACCATCACACAGCTTCACTGCATAAGGAAATATTGTTGCATTTATCATGAAAGTTAGATAGGTGTATCTGGGAAGCCTGCTGTGACACCATCTGTTGACTAGCATAAACATGGAGGGCAGCATCTGCATATACGAAATGAATATAAAAATAAATCATTTGGATTTAAAGAAGGATTATTAGGTCAAGTGTGCTTTAGAACAGTGATCCCCAAATTTGGGCCTCCAGAGGTTCTTGGACTTCAACTCTCAGAAATCCTGGCCAGCAGAGGTGGTGGTGAAGGATTCTGGGAGTTGTAGTCCAAGAACCTCTGGAGGCCCAAGGTTGGGGACCACTGCTTTAGAACAATGTAGAGAAGGTTATTAAGCCAAGAGACTGGGGCGGCAAGAGAGAGCCATTAGGTGAACTATGTGCTGTCTGCCTTGGTGTGGCCTCAAACTCATCAATTCTCTGCTTGGCGTTGCCTTGCTGGATTTGCCTCAGTGTTTTGCACTTGTCATATCCTTGTCACATGTTCTCTGTGTGGATGAAGTCATTTTGTGTCTTCTTGTCCTCAACTCCGACCTGGGCTAGTTCCTCTGTCAGTATGTTCAAGTGCCTTTGCACATTCTCATTCTTTTCTGCTTCAGTAATGCGCTTCTCTTCATTGTGGTCATTCATTATGCCTCCACTTGAGAAGACTCCATTCCTTCATCTTTAAGGTTATCATGAACATGGTAATTCACTGGCTCCTAAACAGATGGAAGTGAAACAGCCCTCACCAAGTGTAGCTCCTCTTCCTTTGTTTTTACAAGATCATCTTAGGCTTTCTTAGCCCAGTGCTGCCACTTTTCCACCTCATTCTCTTTGAGTTTCTTTGCCTCTTCGAGAAGAGCGATCTTGGCTGTATATTCTGCAAGCTCTTTACCCAGATGCTCCTGGCTCTTCATCTGGGCAGCAGCTTGCCTCTCCAGTTCTTCCTTAGCTGTCTTCCAAAAATGCAGAGACATTTTGTCAAGTCTCAGCCAGGCTGGCAATTCTGCATTATCCACATACTGAAGACCAAAGTACTAGACGTCATGCAAGCCTCTATTCTTCACCACTTGGTCAAATAATTTTTTGCCAGGATGGATGGCAAAGTTCAGCTCTACCTACATCCATAGTCATAACTCAAACATTGACTGGGTCTGGCATTTTTTATATCTGAAGTTTCCCTCTTAGTCCAAAAGCAAATATTCATCCAGCAGCCTAAGGATGTTACTCCTTTCTTCTAAGAGACCTCACCGGCAACTCCTTTGGTTTCAATGGGGCAGCTGTGCATCCAGCTATGCTCTGGTCCCATGTGGGCATTGCTCATATGCCATGGTGATTTATTTCTTCCAAATGCTTTCATAGCAGCTTTCACTGAACTTTCTAAAATTGTAGAATCTTTACCATTGGATTTCTCTTCACAGAATCTATCATCATCCTATCTCTTCTGTATAGTTCTTCAATGTATTGCTTCCACCTGCTCTTTATTTTATCCTGATCAGGTAGTTATGTTCCCCTTTGGTCTTTCAGCATACCTAATCTACACTTCCATTTTCATTTGATTTCTTGGATGTTCTGGAATTGTCCTCTCATTTTTTTCTCCTTTGTCATTCTCTTTTATATCTTTGCACTGATCATTGTAATACTGTAGTTCTCTTTGCTCTTAATGATTGTTTGCACTGATCATTGTAATAATTCTCTTTGCTCTTAATGATTGGCATTGAATAGTTGCATTCAGGATTCTGAGCCTACTTCTGTCACTGTCACTTTTACTTCCTGCCAGTCTCTTGCAATTTAAAAAGTTTTCTCTGTCATCCATGTAGGCGCACCTGCCCCCATTTTTTTAAATTACAGGAATACTCTTTTTTCATTTTGCCTAATAATTTATTTGGTATCATTCCACAGTTCTTCAAGGTCACACTTTACTAATGCAAATCTGTTATTTATGTGGATTCTTTTCAGTTTGTAATTTTCAGTATAAAATACTTTGTAGTTGTCCAACTGAAAATCTCCTATTTCGATCCACTTTATTTTGCTCACACCAAGTACTCAACTATTAAAACACTCTATCTCCTGCTTTACAGTTTCCTGTTTACCTTGATTAATGCTTCTCTCATTCCATTTTCTAGCTGTATATGTTGTCTTAGACTTTCATTTCACCTCTGTGGACACCTGCCACTAGACATTCTTTGGGCTTTAATCTAGTTACTTCAGGAGCAAGAGTGGTGTTCATATTCCTTCTTTGATCTTCCTCAGCAGCTGATTATGTCCTTTCTCACCTGGGTAACTCATCTTCCAGCACTTGTGTCATTATGGGCTATTTCACCATTGGGTTCTCAAGGTAAGAAAGGTTTAGCATTGCTTTTCTGCACAGTACTAACCAAAGTTAGTCTGAGTATCCCACTGTTGTCTGTGAAACCAGCGTTACCATCACCTATCGCTGCTGTCCCCTTGAGGTTTTTCAGCTTTGTCCATTCTGTGTTGAGTGTCCCTATTAGGAATCCAGACCTGTAATGGAGACTTGTCTGACACACTCAAACTCTCTCATCACATTAAGGTGTGCATCCAAGAGAGAGACCCATCTTTTTTTCTTCTTCCATTTCTTCTACCTCCAATCCAGCAAGTGCTAGTTCTGTGGTTTCTAAATGCTCCTTGAGACAGTCTTGTTTTTCTGCACCTTGAATGGATCATCTCTTGCAACATGAGTGTTATGGAATTTCCTATCTGTTCTCTCTCCAGTTTAGTTGCCAGGAAGTAGACAAATTGGGTGGTTTAGGTTTCCAGCAAAGGCTTAAGAATACCAGAGCAGGGAAAGTAAGATGGGTAAGAAGGAATCAGAAGTCAAGACAGCTCATCAAGTATATAGAAATCAAGACATATAACTTTTAAAAATTGACCAGGTTCAAAAATGCAGAATTTTATTTGTGTTCATGGCTGCTTGGGATATTTAAGTGGTATTTGGACCTTGGAATTTTTAATCAAGGTTTGAAAAGTTGTTTTTTTGACTACAACTCCTAGAATATTCCAGTGTAATAGTAACTTTTCCAAGCTCTGTTTTTTTAAAAAATTCAGCCGGCACTACCCTTTTCTGGAAAAAAAAACCCCAACATGATCAAAATCATTCACAATTTTGTAGCTTCCAGGCTCTTCTTCCATAAGTGAGTTTACAGAGGCTGTTTTTGAAATATGCCCAGAAACTTTTGTTGATCCAGCCAAAAGACCACTATCATGGTGCTGTGTGGGGCTGGCAGAAAGCAGCTTGGTTGATGTCCCAGCATGCAAGTAATATTTCCATTGAGTCTCCCCTCAGTACACAGAGGAAAACTTTACCTCTCCATGTGTAGGCATTCATCCAAGGAAGACAATGCCCAATTGTTCTGTTATTGTTGTTACATGTTGTCAAGCCCTCCAACTTATGAATGATCTCCAAATTGTCCTGTCCTCAACAGCCCATTTACATCAGCTCAGCTCTTGTAAATTCAAGCCTATGCTTCTTTTACGCAATCAGTCCATCTCATATTTGGTTTTCCTCTTTTCTTGCTGTCCTCAACCATTCTCAGCATTATTGCTTTTTGCAGAATATCTTGCTTTCTCATTATGTGCCCAAATGCTCAGTTTTGTCATTTTTGTTTCCAGAGATAGTTTAGACTTAATTTGCTCTAGAACACACTTGTTTGTCTTTCCAGCACTCCAGGACATCCACAAAACTCTTCTCCAGCACCATATTTCATTCCCCCTCCCCAACCATCAGTATATTTCACTGGCCAGCATTCACACCTGTACACAGTGATCAGGAATATAATTGTGTGGATGATCTTGGTTTTAGCCTCCAGTGACACATCCTTCCATTTGATGATCTTCTCTAATTTCTTCATTGCTGCCCTTCCATGTATTGTATATTAGGCCAAAAAAGGGGGAAATTGTAGTCCCACGATGTAGAAAATATATTACTCTTTTTCCCCAGTATAAAATGCCTAATGCATTTTGGCCTATCAGCCTTCTTCAGGGGCTATATAACATAACAAGAATTAAAATCACAACATTACAACTTTCTGGGGACAAAATCATATAAATAAATTCTTATATCCATAATTCTACAGCACACTCATAGTTTTTAACTGTATTTGTATGTTAATTAATCATATTCTTGTCTAGAATATTGCATCGATATGTTAAAATTAGGACAGGTGGACATTAATAGAACATTTAACTTACTCTGTAGTCTTAAATATTATCTATGCATACTATGTTTATTAAACTCTAATTAGTTCTTTTTTGTTTATTTGATCTGTGACCCGCTCCATTAAA